GATGTTCAATTATTACCCTTTTAATTTTAATTTTTTTTAAATCTTTTTAAATTTTAATTTTAATTTAAAAAATCTTTTAATTTTATTTTTTATCACAATATGAGGTTATTGAGTTGTTCTTGCGTTCTCGTAAATCACATGGGTTCTCGTTTGAACCCTTCCCTATATATATATATATATATATATATATATATATAAAATACTATTTATAGTTTGATTATATGTTAATAATTTTAGCCATACTTAACTTTCTATACTTTTTAGATTTTTAATTTTTTATTATTTTAATTATTTGTAGTTTGATTATGTTATAATAATTTTTAATGTACTTCAATTTTAATAATTTGCTTGGGTATTTCTATGCCAACAAGAGATATATGAAATTTCTCTTCATTTTCTTTGTTTTCATAAACTTGGGATTTTATAACGTGAAAATTATTTTGTCAATTTAATAATCTTTTAATTTTAATTTATAAAATTTGATTTGTGATTGGATATATAAAATATCTTTAATAAACAATCCTTTTTTTTTTTTTTCAAATGTGAATCACAATTAATTTTTGAGTGAATTACACTTTTGATTCCTATAGTTTGTATAGAAAATTGATTTGTTGATTATAACTATTGCTAATTGATGATGTTTATTTTAAGGATATGAGTATTATGAAATTGAAAAGTTGTCCAGATAGAATCCAAATTTTAATCAGAACCACATGACCAACTTCTTTTTATGATATGATGGGTTTCACCTCTATGGCTATGAACCACAGGTTTATATGGTCCAACCACAAGTCTCCAACCATTTCACTTTAGTCCTTATGTAGGATTTATGAGTCATGAGTTTTAGCTCATTGTTTCTACCTCTACATCGCCACTTACAACCATCTCCATGTTTGAGTTAACTTGATGTTTTGGAGAGCTACTCTCTACGTTATTGATCCAATTCATGAACAAACCAAAGCTGCATTATCTACACAATCTTTTTGGAGAGCACTCACAAATATTCTACTCACGATGTTTTTTTTCTAGGAAAGTCCTTATAAGCTTGATACATGTTGAGATTCAACAAAGACAAAATCATCAGCAAAATACATATATATTCTTTATTTTGTAATACAACTATTTTAGGGTTAACCGATTTTAACATTCAATACAGTAATCCCTTATCGTCTACTCTGTTATCATGTCCTTGAATTCCTCCTCCCTTCAATCCAACTTGAGAATTCGTCCCAACAATGAACACCTTCCTACTGCAATGTTTGGCACATTTCTCCATTAAGATACAATGTTTACAGGCAATGCAGACTCGTAGACCCTTTCTCGAGCCTTCTTAGCCTACATCCACAATAGAAAAGTGTAAAAAGGTCAAATAGGAGCTAAACATCCATACTTAAGAGGGGTTTATGATTTTTAACATTGGGAAAATCTTCTACTATATTACCATGTAGTAGTCAAAGATGTACATGATGCTCGGAGATTTCAACTGAAAACAAGCCCTTGATTTTCAAATGAGATCTCCAAACATTGCATATACTTTTTGGGCATGGAAGAGCTAGTTCTACTCATCTTAGAAGCTTCACTCTTCCTACCTAGAAATTTTAGATTCATGAAAACAATTCTTTTGTGCAAGCCCGAATATTGAGTAAAGTAGAAAGCGTTACTTCTGTGTCCCAGTTTGTACGTATGGTAATTGTCAGCAGCAAAACCACCTGGACGAGCAACGCCCCAATAATCCCAAACCATAGTCCCTGCATAATACATTACTGTTACGGTAGTAAAATCAAGTTATAGTCATCCCAAGTTTATCGTCTCAAAAGATTTCAAGCTTATAAAAGATGAAGAATCTCTTATGAGTAGTTATGTAGCAATCCTCTTAATCATGTTTACACCCATTTACTTGGTATTGCTCATATGCCAAAGTTATAAACTAAACAAACCACATATATATATATATATATATATATATATATATATATAATAGAAGAGTGAGGTTTGTAGTCCAAAAATAAATTAGAAATTAGAAAGAATTATAGTGTTTTTGTACCTTTCCTCCTATGTGCAATACAAAAGCTAGCAAAACGGCTAAAGGAATGCCCACAAGGTAGTATGCCCCAAGGTTAATGTATGCGCCAATCTTCTGCCAACCACATCCTCGTACAGAACCTACAAAGCATTACTAACAAGATTAGCACAATTATTATATCTAGTTTGTTAGTTAGGAAATCAAACTTTTGTACAACTACCAAACCCTATATTTGTTTGTGTATGAAAGAGAGAGGTATAGCAAGATCAGAGAGCCGAGTTTATTACTTCTAACTTGTCTGTATTTCAATACAACCTTCTTTTTGTCTGTAGCCCGAGTTTCACTTATGTTTGATTTGTGTTATTGACAAATATGTATATACATATATATATAGAGAGAGAGAGAGAGAAAAGAAAAAGAAGGATCATGCACGATGTTAAACATTTTGTGAGAAGCTGATAAATCTCAATATCATATATGATAACATTCTTTGGGTGTGTTGAATCATATATGGTTAAGCATTTATGTGAAATCAATGTAACAATATGTAATCATATATGATATTGAAACTTTTCAAAATGTTTAATTCTCGTCTAAACATGATCCTATATATGTATATATTGTTTGAAAACGGTCATTTTCACATATTTGTCTTAAATATGTATTTAACTTAACTGCACTAAAATAAAAACAAACTAGTTAAATCAAACTTTTTTTTTACTAAAGGAAAATCGAGAAAGTGATAGGAGTTGATGTTGAAAAGAATTGGTCACCATATTTGTCATATCTTTTAGATCAATGACCGGTAAAGGACTTGCCATGAAAATGATGGGCTAGGACCAAGATAAGAAGAGGTTTAAACCTGATCAAAATTGTAAACGTTGGGAAATGGCTACACACCTTTTCATGGAGGTGATGCATATATATATATATATATATATATATATATATATATATATATATATATATATATATATATATATATATATGCATCACCTCCATGAAAAGGTGTGTAGCCATTTCCCAACGTGTATATATATATATATATATATATATCAGTCTGTTTTCGTGAGACTATCTTTTTATACTTGGAACTTCACAACAAAACATTGTGAAGGTAATCTTTACAATGTTTTTTGCTGTGAAGTTTCGGATTCTTTTTTTACCTTCACCATGAATTGCTGTAAAGTTTCAAGTGTAAAAATGTGGTTTCATGTGACTCACGAAAGCAGATTGGTCTTATGTGAACGCAACCCTATATATATATATATATATATATATATATATATATATATGTGTGTGTGTGTGTGTGTGTGTGTGTGTTGGGGGGGTTTACTTTGCAAACCATCCACTTGATACAAACTATATAAAATAGCATCAACCAATAGTATAATTCCATTTTTTTTTTCTTTATTTTTAATGCATAAGGGTATGATTGTTTTTTGACTTTATAATTATAATTTTGGTACTATTTTAATTATGTCTAAATCTAGAAGCATATAAATTAGAGGGGTTTTTAGAAAATGATCAATCAATTTGTTTTTAATAAATATTTATCAACATTAATATTTTTTATTATTTTATTAAATAAAAATAATTCGTCAATTTCAGAGTTTATTTATAATCATCTTTTTAGGAATTTATTTATTTCATTTTCATAATAACAAAAGAAATCGGTATTTTTATTCAATTTACAATTTTTTTCCAGATTTATTAATAATATAGTTGTGATATTTTCCAGATTTTGAGTATATTATTTTATTTCATTTGTAAAATTCATTAATAAATTTATTTCTTTACAAATTTCATTAATAAAATCATATTATTCAATTTTCAAAATGTTTCATTCATGAAACTAATTTCATTGTGGTTAGGAACCATGAAATCAATTTCGTTAATGAAATCATATCATTCAGTTTTCAGAATGTTTTATTGATTGAATCATATTTAATTTCATTCATAAACCCAATTTCATCTTGGTTAGGAAACATGAAACCAATTTCATCAATGGAATTATGTCATCCAGTTTTCAGAATATTTCATTCATGAAACCAATTTCACTAATGAAATCATGTTACTCAATTTTCAAAAAATGTTTCATTGACTGAACCATATATATTTTATTAATAAATCAAATTTCATTTTGATTAGGAACCATGAAACCAATTTCACTAATGAAATCATGTTATTCAGTTTTCAAAAATATTCATTCATGAAACTAATTTCACTAATGAAATCATATTATTCGGTTTTCAAAATGTTTCTTTCTTTATTGTTGATTGAACGGAATTAATGCCATGAAAGGGGATTGAATACGAGGAAAGTATATTTCAATAAGTTGAAACGTTTAAAACTTTTTCCAGTTTTGTCCTTTCTTAGATAAAATAATAATAATTTTATTTACTTTACTAAAATAGTTTTTTTTAATAATGATCTTTGATCTTGAAAATGGATGGATGAGATTGGTTTGTAGGGTTTGCACAAAAAGGAGTGATTTGTATTTGATCACTCATCTCTCTCTCTCTCTCTCTCTCTCTCTCTCTATATATATATATATATATATATAGACTTGGGATCACGTGTTACACTTGAAACTTCACAACAAAATGCTGTGAAGGTAAACCTATTTTCGTGAGAACCGTGAGACCACTTTTTTGCACTTGAAACTTCACAGCAAAATGTTGTGAGGGTAACTTTCACATTGTTTTGCTGTGAAGGTTCGGCCTTTATAACTTTCATAGTGTTTTGCTGTGAAGTTTCAAATGTAAAAAAGTCTCACGGGTCTCACAAAAACATGTTGGTCTCACGTGAACCCAACCACACATATATATATACTATCTTATAAAATATTTGGCTAAAACTCTTAAAAACTCTTAAACTCGTTCATCCTTATCCGATTTCATCCCATATCTGAATTCGTGTAACTAACTGCAGATAAACACAATCAAATACAGGATAAACATCTCATTTTAAATATAAAAAATCTAAA